AGCAAGACACTAGAAGGCAAGCAACTCACTTTTGACCTCAGAGAGCAGCACTGAATTTATCTTTCATGAATTGAAGGAATCACATGGTGATTTGGCCTACATAATACTTCTCTCAAGTATTTAACACAGACATATGTTTTTCTATATTTACATGCATCTTTCATCTGAGTTAACTATGTGACGTTACTCATAAACCTCAGCTTGCCCATTGATTGACCTAGTCAGTTTACCCTCAAAAAGACATATAAAGAAATCATATTTAAAGTTTTCCTTTCTTTCATGCCCTTCCTTTCTCTATCTGATAAAATTATAGAAAAGATTCATTTTAATTACATTTATTTAGCCAAATAGCTCATATGAAGCCTTAGAGCTTTTTAATAGGGTCCCAAAGAGTGAGTAGGTACACAAAGGAAACAATCTAGGCAGAGCAACAGCATACAAAGGCAGACGAGAAACTGCATGGCAATCTGTACATCTTAGTCCCCTCCCCCTTTTCACCTGTCCCTCTAACCCCCCCTTCCATCCGGCAACCATCAAAATGTTCTCTGTATCTATGAGTTTGTTTCTGTTTTGTTTGTTCATTTATTTTTTTTTAGATACCACATATAAGTGAAATTATATGGTATTTGTCTTTCTCTGTCTGACTTATTTCACTTAGCCATCCATGTTGTCGCAAATGGCAAGATTTCATTCTTGTTTATGGCTGAGTAATATTTCATTGTAATTATGTACCATCTCTTCTTTATCCATTCATCTAACGATGGACACTTAGGTTGCTTTCATATCTTGGCTATTATAAATAATGGTGCAATGAACATAGGGATACATATGTCCTTTCAAAATAGTGTTTTGGATTTCTTCAGATAAATACCCAGAAGTTGAATGTCTAATCACTATGTTGTACACCTGAAACTAATATAATATTATATGTCAACTGTAACTGAAAAAAAATTTTTTTAATTAAACAAAGAAGCCACATGACCTGTTTGAATTGAGTAGTTTGGTGTGGCTTAAGAGTAGCACAGTAGGAAGTGAAGGGAAATGAGACTGGAATGTTTAGTTGTGCCAAAAAATGTAGGACTACGCTTTAAAAAAAACCAAAAAAACAAAAAAAAAATACTTCAGGCTTTATTATATAGGCAGCAGGGTGCCACTAAACTAAATCTGTATTTGAAATGGAGTGACATAATGCAATTTGTGTATCGGGAATATAATTTTTGGCAAGATATAGGATTTGGACTTGAGAAAAGCAAGAGGGAGCAGGGTAATAGGTTAGGAAGTTGTAGGCGTAGTAACAGTCCAGGTAAGAAGTACGGAATGAAGGCAATGCCAGAGCATATTGAGAAAAGGGAACAGATTCAAAAGTTGTTCCAGAGATAGAAGTCACAGTGCTTAGTTTCCTACTGAATGGGAAACAAGGGGGAGTTTGACTTCAGGATTTCTGCCTTGGAAGACAGTGGAAGGTGAACCTTGGTGGGCAGGAAGGGAAGATTTGTGAGAGAAAAGAGTTCTATTTTTAACATGTTGTATGAGGACTCCTGGAGACTTTAGGATGGTAAAGCCTACCAAGTAATTAGAAATAAGTGTGTAGAGCTCTAGACAAATGTACAGATAAGAGATAGAAACTGGACAAGTTGAATTTACACAGTGGTATTTGTTCAATGGGTCCTGGCCCCCATGAGCATTTCCTCAAAGAGCCCTAGCAAAACACCTGATCTTCAGTTTCCTCTGCTGTAAAATGATGTAATAATAATAATAATAATAATAATAATATCATCTGCTCCACCTAACTCAAGTGATTGTGAAAGAGATTAAGTGATATGTGGGTGAAGGTACTTTTAATATTAAATTGCTGCCTTAATGTCAGTAATGTTTAGTTGGAAAACCAGGTATAAGATTAACTACAACAATAGTAATAGTACATAATCTGATCCATTCTATCCCTCTCATAGGCTAATGAACTCAAATGAAACTGACCATCCCCCTATTTATTTAGAGCCACTTTCTATGTTATGATATATCTCTTTAGTTCATACAGCAAAATCTCTTTGATTTTTAAATGCATAGAATTTAAAAAGAAAGTTGCTTTTTAAAAAAATTTTTTTCAGGCAACTAAACTACTAGCTAGACCTCCTTTTTCTTTATATACGAATACTCCTAACATGGTAGGGGTGAGCAGGAGGGTCAGAAAAAAAAGATCATAAAAATATGAGTCTCCATTGCTTTGCTTTGCATTCTACTTTTGCTATGAATCACTGATTATGAAGAATTGGTTGGAGTCCAGAATCCTCAGAGTTAGGGTTTGCTAATTACTTGTTTGCACAAGAGACACATGGCCCTCTGAAAACCTCTTTTTCCTCTAAATTATGAATTCTTGGAATTAATAGATAATTTTACTGAAAGGATCAGAATAATAATGATTTGGGGTTATAATCTGCTAGATAGCATGCTATTTTGAATTACCTACAATTAGTGTGGTTTCACAATATTATCTGTAAGAGAGCATTTTTCTTCCTTGCATTTTTTGCCTCTTTCATGTCATTAGCACCACAATAGAGAAACCCTACAAAGCTGTTCACAAAAATATTTTAAACATGAACTTGTGCTCTTAGAAACAACTACATTTGCAGCTCTCTCTACCTCATATTCAAAAGCACCCACACTTATCTGGTCTATTTTTCTAAATTCTCCTGAAAGGAGGAAAAATGTATTCAGTGTGTAAAAATAAGCTATTGTATCTCAGAAAGGAGATGGGATGCCTAATTAAGGGTTGTTTGAATGAACAAGTCACATTGCATTGTCTACTGAGAGCTGGCTGCCAATTGAATTTTTGGTAAAGAGTCAAGAAAAACATTCAAGAGGGTCCCAGCAAGCTTGGGAGAGAAGCAGGCAGCACTTCCATTTATCAAGTAGGTGCACAAGCCTGTTCAGGCATTGTTAAAAGTCAGGGTGCAGGCTGTGAGCTCCTGCCTCGAAGCTTTTCCTGCTGGTTTCGAGAGCCACCTTCCAAAAGAGAGGCCTGCTGTTCAGGTCTGATTGTAGACAATGTGGCACATATGCTGGACTGCTGGACCACTGAATACCTCTTTTTTTGTTCAATACCTGTTTCAAGATTCTTTGTCTCTTCTTCGATTTATCCAGGAGGCATGGGTTTTAAGATACACAATAGCTCAGGTCTTGTAGCGAAATAATCGATGCTCTATTGAAAGAAACGAAGTAAATCGGTTAGTATGATTATCTTTAACAAACTGGAGAAATTTTAGACATTTGACAACTCATAAATGAGGAGGGAAATAAAATGCTCTGTTTTTAAAAGGTTTTACTTTTCTCAATATCTGGTTATGTTAACCAGAGTAAGCCTTTAGCCTGGTTGCCTGACAGTCTTGGATGTGGGGTGGCATGTAAATAGAGGTGAAAATGACTTACTTTGTTTGGAAAGAAACCAGAAAATAGAAGATGCAAATGCGTTTTTATTCTAATGGATGAAAGAAACAGCGATTCCACCAGGTAAAGGGACTCCTTTCCTGGCTCTAATTTGTGGGATAGTTAATACTTAGCATGATAGAGTCCGGAGATGTGTTTCTGATACTGTACGTGTCTTTTCTTTTAGTTCTATAATTCTGTGATTCTTTTGCTGCTCTTTTGAATCATAAGTTCTTAATTACATAAATGTGAAGAAACAAGTGCCCTGAGTACTAAAAGGTCCCAACTGAAGGCAACAAGTGACAGAATTTCTCTATAAAAATGCATGTGTGTTTGGAAGAAAATAAATGCTATTTAAAGAATACTTATAAAATTAACATTGCTTCCCTGGGCATTTGCAATAAAACATCAACTTTCACACTTTACATTAATCATTAAAATATGTGGAAAAAATTAACGGGTCTTTTGCAGTCAATTAAAAGGAAAAATAATAAATAATATTTGTATATATGTACACTTGAATTTCATTTTGCAGTTTTCTTTAAATAATGTAGCTTGGATATAAAAATATAATGTTTAATGCATGATCTAAGGCATAATTAATGATCTAATCACTTTAGATAAAAAACAGAAAGCCCAGTAATTATAAAATGTAATAATAACAACAACTACAATAACAATAATAGCAACATGTTTTGAATGCTTATTATTTGTATGCCTGGCTTAGTCCTAAGTGCTTTCTATGTATTAAATCATGAGAAAACTGTGGCCAGAGAGATTACTTATGGATTCACAGCTAATAAGTGGTAGAACCAAAATTTGGACTCAGGCTCTCTGACTCCAAAGCCTGCACCTTATCCACCACTTTATATTGCCTTGCTTGCACTATAATTATTATTACTGTTATTAAACCCTTCAAAGAAGATCCATTATAAAAAAATATTTTAAAAATAAATTCGTTATACATTTATTTTTAATAGACTCCATAAATGAAAAGACTACTGATCCTGGAAAATATACCATCAAAGAGGTATAAAGGCCATTACATCTGTTTTACGTACAAGCAAACCCTCATTCTGTGGCATCTAACACATTACAGATACTCCTATAAGATGCTTCTATTTGATGAAGCAAGAAATTGATACTTGCCTCGATCATCATGATAAAACATTCTTCTGATTTCTAGTCATCACATGATAAACTCTATATTTGGATGTTAATTTCTTAATTCATAATTTAGTTCTTAATCTGTTCTTATTTATCTGTGGAGTTTGGGGAAATTTTGCCTTTATCTATTTTTTGTATGGAATTAGTAGCAACAATGTTTGTCAGACACATGCAAAAATTTATCCTTTATTTTAAAAATCACTTTATTGAGATGTAATTTATATACCACAAAAATCATCTGTTTAAAATATACAATTCAGTGGTTTTAGAGCATTTACAAAATTGTGACAATCGATACTTGATTTTTTTTTTATTATTCAATAAAAACTCTTGAGATGCTTGAATGAAAAGTGCTCCGAGGCCAACAAAAATCACTAATACTTGCTGTGTTCTTCTTTCCCTTTCATCAGAAATGTGTGTTATACTGGCCTGAAAAGAGAGGAATATACGGGAAAGTCGAGGTTCTGGTTATCAGTGTAAATGAATGTGATAACTACACTGTTCGAAACCTTGTATTAAAGGTAAGATTATGTAGCTGTAGCTACTTACCAAGCAAGTAGATGATGTTAGAGGGTTACATTTCTAGTTTGAATTGTGTATCCTCATAAGTACTACAGATTCCATTTAAACAAATGAAATAATGTCAAGATCAAAGAGAAATTATGAATATTCTCTCATGTATTTCTTTGTGGTCCGCTACTACTAGCATGTGGAATAATTAAATAAGTAGATATTCAGGAAAGTCACTAAGCAGGATGTCATGATCTAATTTGCATAAATAAAAGATCTCTCAGTTTAACTTTTTGAATGCCTTTTACTAAAGACTTGCTCTGGAGACTTTATCACGATATTTTGTTAACATCATCTTAGCCTAAGCAGCTTTAAGTAAGGCTTGGAAACCGTGAAAGAGAAAATCTGTGCTTGTGGGTGGCTGTGGGAGGCAAGATAAGCCCGAAGTGTTGATGAAACCTGCCAAAACTTGGAGTTACAGTAATTTATAGGGACTTTCCCCAGACCAGATAACATCATAGGAAAATTATCTTATTTAACTTACGGGCAGCAGATGTTGAGAAATGTTGCCATGGTACTGTTTTTGTTTCTAGAGAAGAATTATCTCGGATTCTTTCAATTCTATCTACAGCCTCACCTCTGGAACATAATCATCACAGAGAGGGAGTAGAGGCAGAGCTGTACCAATGGTTTTTAATGGGAAGCTCAGGATAGGAAGGCAATTGCCAACACCTGTTTTTCAACACATGTCCTCAAGTGCCTAGTCCAGGCCAGGCCCCCAACCAGGCACTGAGTTTTGAGATGATATGCATGGACCTTCGCTCAAAGTGATTCTAATTTAGTGCCCCCTGTAGCTCCTTCACTACCGAAATTTGGAATAAGTGTAGAAGTATTAGAGTGATTGAACATAAAATTTAGAGTTTTTATATTTGTTTATATGCTTGTAATAACTTCTCAGGAATGTGCAAAGAGCAGGAAATACACTATATTCCAATTCTTTCTTGGCTACATTTTTATCTACCATTTTGTTTATTGTAATAAATTACAAACATATGTTGAGCATATGTCACATATACACTTTCTATACTAAATATATATTCTCACTTAATAGAGACAATACTGTCAAACATTGATATAAGTATGTTTACAGTAACGTCTTCTCAAGGTGCAGGGTTGTTTTTCAAAAATCTCCTAGGTTTTTTCCCCACTTAGAAATAAGTTGCCAGCAAGTTGGGAATGATAGGAGGCATGTAGTACTGTGGTTTGGATGACTTTTAGTTGCACAAGTAAATAAGGCATTTGGTGGCTATTGCTATTTTCAGCAAGGAAGTCACACCCAACATGTGAAGCATTACTGGTATACCTCATGGCCCGATCACAAGACTCCAGATAGCGCCCAGCCCCTTCTACAGCTCATGCTGGATGTAGAAGAAGACAGACTTGCTTCTGTGGGCCGAGGGCCTGTGGTTGTCCACTGCAGGTAAGGCATGAACTGTCCTTTCTGCCTAAGCAAACTATCCATTCTTTGAAAAGTTATAGAGCAGATGGAAGTTAAGTTTTGCTTCCTGGTTGTGACTTCATCAGTAAATTAAATACTTATCGAATTTGGTTAACTTCCTAATATTTGAGTCTTGATCAAGATGATATTTACAGTGACAATAGTAGGGTATTTTCAGCAAACAATTACACAGTGGAGGAAATACCACTTCTAAATAAATGCCTTGGGGAACAGGAGATCTTATTCAGTCCTCTACCTTGAAACTTTTTTTGATTCATTTAGTCTCATCAGCCTAATGTACATTGGGAATGACAGATATGATTTTTTTGTTATTATTAGTAGCTTTTTGTTGTTTCTAGATGGCACCTGAACTATTGTATCTTAGTAACATTTATTATTGTATACTCGAATTGTATCTTAGTAACATTTATTATTATTTCAAATTTGATGAAAACCAGTCAATTATTTTAAAAGTTATTTCATGTAAAACAGAAGGGAATAAATTATGAAATGGGAAGTGGGCAATTGGTATTTCTCCCAAAGGAAAACAAAGTGCTATTACCAGAACATAGGTTACTGGGGGTTAGGCTGGCAAAAGCAATAGATGTCTGTGGTGGTTCCCTTACTTAATGTCTAGCTTAAAGGTCTCTTCTCATAATCAATATCTTATCCCCCTTTGTTTTCCTTTTATTATACCTAAACAAAAGCAAATATTTTTTAAAGTTATTTAGATAACCAGTCATTTATTCTCCATACTTCCTCAAAATACTGCAATTTGGGTCACTTTCTTTAACTAAAGTCTTATAAGATAGATTTTGATAATATCTTTAATAAGTAAAATACATTATTTTAGATGATAATTTTAGCCTCCTTCTCTTTTGAACCTTTATAGCTTAATTAAGGGTAAAATTTACTGTACGTCTATTTATCTAAAGCATTATTATCCAGTTTCTAGCCTTAGGTCTCACTCTAAACTTAGCTTGGGGCCAAGAGAAAACAATCTAATTGGCCATACTTTAGGGCTGGAATAGTCCCCCACCCCAAATCATAAAACACTCAGGATATCTAAAAGGAAGGAGCCACTTCCCCTATAAAATCAGTTCCCCTTCTGATTACTATTTCTAAGAATGAGACCATCTTTTTTTTCCAGACACTCAGTGTCTAATATTGACAGTTATCTTTGGCTCTTCTCTCAATTTCAGTCTCAGTATCTAATCAGTAACCAGAGTGGCTTTCCCTTCAAAGCTTCTCCCATTATCATCACTTCCTGTCCAACCACCCAAGTTCAGGCCTTCATGACCTCATCCATGTATTATAGAAGTAGTCGGCTAATTGCACACACCCCCCCACTTCCCCACGCCCCACCCCAACTACGGCCTACCCTATGCACTTCTCTTGGATGATGCTCTTAAAACTCTTTCATCACATGGAGTCCCTGCTCAAAACTTCTCAATGGCTTCTCATTGCCTAGAGAAAAAGTTCTTAATCTTAGGTCTATGAATGAGCTACAAGGGTCAGTGAAAGCCTTGAAATTACTCGAACAAGTTTGAGTACACAAAGTCGTGTTAATTTTTCTGGGGAGTGAAAGTTCATAGCTTTCATCAAATTCTAAAAAAAAAAAAAAAAGGTACTACTGTTTTAGAAGATAAGTCTAAACCTCTTAGATTTCCACGTAAAATCCTTTACAACCCCATGTACCTTCCCAGTCTTATTTCCCACTTCTTCTCTAAAGTAACATTCTCTTCAAGCCAAGGTAGTCTACTCATTGTCACACCTCATATATTCTGTTCTGCAGCAGTTCTTTCCTTATCATGCATGAGACATTCTCTCTCATTCAGGATAATAAAAATGCCTGCCATTCACAGGGTACAGTTCAAATCCTATTTCTTTAATGAAACAAACTATAGATGCTTCAACTAATAGGGACCCATTCTACCTCTAAATTTCTATGCACTCACATTTAACAAAAACAAATTCCAAATAAGAGAAATAAATGCTATTTGAGTGCCAAGAGGGGAGCTATGAATTTAAACCAGGAGGATTGATGAAAGCCTCAAAAATTCGGAATAAAGTCAAATGGGATCTTTAAAAATTACCAATGTGTATGGTTTTTAGAGGCGGTAGAGAGGGCATTTCTGACTGAAGAACTAGCATTAACACATACAAGGGAAATTGGAAAATAAAAGGTATTTTTCGGCAGTGATTCATGTAAATGAAAAATAAATGGCACAAAGGGTACAAGGACAGTAAAAAAACATAAAGCATGAAAGTTAGTCACATTCATATTATTCAAGGTCATGAATGCCATGGTAGAGAGCTTAGACATAGTGCTATAACTATTGGGAGCCATCTAGTTTTTGAGTAGAGAGTAATATGATAGGTTCCTAGCAGCTGTGTGTATCATGAATTAGCCCAGGAAAAGAATTGAGACTTGAAAACCATAATGAGATCATTGCTAATCATGAAGTAAGGAGATGTTAAAAATGTGAGCACAGTCTATAAAAGGAAAGCATGAATCTCAAAAGCTCAGTAGAGGTGGAAAATATAAGAATTGGTAACAGATTGGATGTGGGAGGTGAAGGAGAAGGAGATGTTGAAGATGGCACCAAGATTTCTAAGCTGGAAAATTTGTGGCTGGTAATGCCATTGAGAGAAAAGATAATTCTGTTTTAGACACACTATACTGAAGCAAGTGCAAAATAGTAACATCAAGAGTTTCAACTAGGAGATGGAGGCCAATCTAGAGTTTAGGAAAAATTCAGAGAATTTAGATGTAGATTTGAGAGAAATTTACATAAAAACTATTAGTGGTTGAAATTACTGAGACTGAGAGAGAGATCTATATCTACCTAC